AGGGCAGCAGTGATGCGAACACGATGAGAAGGCTTAAGAACGCAGCGAGTCGCGCGTGGCATGCGCGAAGAAGGCTAAGTCACCGTGCCAGCGAGGCGCGATATGTGGATGAGCGCGCGCGCGCGGGAGACGACGCGCGTGACACTGTCGGGGACGAGATAGGGTTTGAACGCGCAGGCGACGGGGTGCACGCGCATACTTGCCTGGGCACGCAAGGATTAGGCGAGTTGCTGGACGCGTGCGCAGGAATAGAAGATGAAGCCCTAGTCCTTGGGCGATTAGGCAACGCGGACGCGGGGCAGGGAGGCTTGAGACGCAAGCAAGAAATATTCTAGATAGCTTGGTTAATATTTTATTTCCTTGTTTTCTAGTTTGTTTAGGACACTTAATATTTTTATTGCTTTCCTAGAGTAAGTAGTTTAGTTTAAGTAGATTAGGACTAGATCTTTATTTTGAGCCTTATAAATAGGCGTGCCTTGTTCTAAATTTGAGAGATGGATTCTTTTTAATACAAAAACCGAACTTTGTTCAAATCTCTTGCTTTAGTTTACGATTAAGTGTTCTACTGCAAATTATCCTTCGAAGGGGCGCGAGTGTGTAAACCTCCGAGCACAGTATCGGTGATTTAAGGCGCTGGAGCGGCTTGTCGGCAATCGAGACACACGGTCTTCATCATTGGTGCTTTCGTTGAGAGGGTCGATCGTGTGTCTTTCCTTTCCCATTCTCTTTTAATTTTTCTTTCTTAATTTCGTTAAAAAAAAAAAGAGAAAAAGGCGAATAAAAAAAAAAACGTCAAAAGCCAAAAAAAAAAATCAAAATTAGTCCGGGAAGTCGAGAACGTAGGTAAGACAGAAAAGATATGGCCAATCGTGAATTGAAGGAAAGGGTTGAAGGTTTGGAAGGCCAATTCAAGGCCATAAGCGAGAGCATGGAGGGTCGGTTTGGATCGCTCGACGAGGGACAGGTCAGCACCAATGCTGCCGTGGCTCGCCTCGAGCAGCGCCTGGAGGAGGTGTTGCGCGGGTTCCAGCGACAGCAGCAGCAGGAGCCACCACGGGTGAACGCACGCGAGCGTCTAAGGCAACAGGAGCAGCAGCGGGCTGAGCACAACCCCGTGGAGGAGGAAGAATACGAACAGCGGTAGCAGGCATCGAACGTACAGGAGAGACCACGCATCGAGAAGCGAAGGATCGTGCTCTCGACGTTCACGGGAACCAACCCCGACGCTTGGCTGAACAGGGCGGTGAAATTTTTCGACTTAAATGAGATGCCGCAACGTGACTGGGTTCGGTATGCCGAGTACTATTTAGATGGTAAGGCCAACGTGTGGTGGCAGTGGCTCACGCGCGTGTATCGCGGGCGGCAACAACCAATCCGTTGGGAAGATTTTGAACGCGAGCTCCTTACGCGTTTTGGGAACTCAGACCATCATAACCACGACGAGGCGCTGACTCGGATCCGGCAGACGGGGAGTGTACGTGACTACCAAAATGAGTTCGAGAGATTGGCGTGCCGGGTTCGTGGGTGGCCGGAGAGCGCGCTTGTTGGCGCGTTGGTTGGAGGGCTTAGGTATGATCTCGCGGCCGAAGTGCGATTGGAGAGGCCGGAGACCATGAACAAGGCCATGGAGGTTTCTAGGAGACGGGAGGATCACTTGGCCGCAACTCGAAGGGGATGGGCGGATTTCCGTGTCCCGGAGTCGCGGCGTGTGCCGGCGACCGTGGGCGCACCTAGTGCGAACGCGAGGCCGCCGGGCACCTTTAGGCCACCAGCAACCGAGGTGAAGAGGTTGACGGAGGAGGAGATGGCACGGAGACGTGAGAAGGGGTTGTGTTTCCGGTGCGAAGAAAAGTACACGTCCGGACATCGGTGCAAGCAGAATTACTTGATCGAGTTCGTGGACTCGGATGACGAGGAACCGATGATCGAGGAAGAACAGGAGGTGGAGGTCGAGGTGCTCAATGATGAGGCCGAGATCTCAGTTCATGCGATGGCAGGCACTAAAGGCCCGAGGACTATGAGGTTGCCGGCGTGGTTGAAGGATCGGCGGGTTACAGTACTCGTGGACAATGGGTCGTCGCACAATTTCATTAATGCGACTCTTTCTCACAAGCTTAAGTTGCCCACGTCCACGATTGAGCCGTTCGAGGTTAGGGTGGCGAATGGCGAGCGCTTGTGGTGCTCGGAGATGTACCGAGGTGTGCCGATCAAGTTTCAAGGAGTGACGGTGAAGGCGGATTTGTTTGCCTTGCCTTTGGTGGGGCCGGATGTGGTGCTTGGGTGCAGTGGCTCGAGGAACTCGGAGATGTGACGACTAATTACCGGAAGGGTGTGATAAAGTTCGAGGCCGGTGATAAGCTCGTTACTTTGAAGACTAGTGAAGGGGCAACCAAGAAGGTTGGACTAAAAAGCATCGAGAAGGTGTGGCAAGGTGGCGGGCAGTTGTACGCTGTCGTGGTCGAGCAGACAGGCAAGGACGCGGAGGTGGTCGAGGAGAGGCAGCGCGAGGTGCGTGACTTGCTCGAGGAGTTTGACCAGGTCCTTGACGAGCCCAAGGGATTGCCGCTGCACCGGGAGTTCGACCACCGCATACCTTTGGTCGAGGAGGGTCGAGCAGTGCACGTGCATCCCTATAGGTACGCGCACTTTCAGAAGGCGGAGATCAAGAGGCAGGTGGGCGAGATGCTCGAGTATGGACTCATCTAGCATAGCACGAGCCCGTTCTCGTCACCAGTGCTGCTCGCAAAGAAGAAGGACGACATGTGGCGGTTTTTCACGGACTACCGTGCTCTCAATGCATCTGCCGTGAAGGATCGCTTTCCCATTCCGAGTGTCGACGATATGCTGGATGAGTTGGGTGGCGCGCGCTACTTCTCCAAGCTCGACTTGCGCGCGGGCTACCATCAGATCAGATTGGCCAAGGAGGACATGCCCAAGATGGCTTTTTGCACGCACCAAGGGCACTACGAATATCTCGTGATGCCTTTTGGTTTGTGCAATGCGCCGTCAACATTTCAGTTTGCGATGAATTCCATCTTCAAGGAGTACCTTCACAAATTTGTGTTGGTATTCTTTGATGACATCTTGTTGTATTCGAGGACATGGGTGGATCATCTTGGGCACTTGCGGGTTGTTTTGGGGATCTTGGAGGCTAACTCATTCTACATCAAGCCGTCCAAGTGTTCGTTTGCTCAAGAGGTGGTCGAGTACCTTGGGCACTTTATTTCTCATGATGGTGTCAAGGTCGATCCAAGGAAGATTTGGCGATGGTGGGTTGGCCGAAACCCACAAGCTTGACGCAGTTGCGAGGGTTCCTTGGTCTCACGGGCTATTATCGGAAATTCGTAAAGGACTATGGGACCATCGCGAAGCCACTCACGGAGATGACGAAGAAGGGAGCATTCAAGTGGACGGAGGCGAGCGAGAAGGCTTTCAAGAAGCAAAAGGAGGCCATGACGACCACGCCCGTGCTCTCAATGCCGAGGTTTGATGTGTTGTTCGAGATTCACTCGGATGCGAGCGACATTGGGATCGGGGCGGTTCTAGTGCAGGAAGGACGACTCTTGGCCTATCTCAGCAAGGCACTCAGGCCGGCGCGCTTGGGGTTGTCCGCATACATGAAGGAAATGCTGGCCGTGGTCGAGGCCGTGCGCGTGTAGAGGCCGTATTTGCTCGGGCAACACTTTCGGATTGTCACGGACCAGCAGCCGCTCAAGCACTTGCTCGAGCAAAGGATCGTGATGCCCGAGTAGCAGAAGTTCGTGTCCAAATTGATGGGGTTTGACTTCGAGATAGTGTATCGGCCCGGTCGCCAGAACACCGTGGCCGATGCATTGTCTCGCCGGGAAGACGTGGCCGAGCTCGATGCCGTGACGGGGCCGACGTGGGCCGTTTGGGCCGAGCTTCGGAAGGCACAAGATGAGGATGCGCATTGTCGGGACGTGATCGAGAAGCTGAACATGGGACACGACGAGGACGAGGACCATGACATACACGATGACTTGCTCCTTTATCGTGGGCGAGTCATCGTGCCCGAGGCGGGATCGTTGCGCGAGGATATCATCCGGCACTTCCACGACTCGAAGTTTGGAGGACACTCGGGGGTGTTCCGGACATGGATGAGGATTGCGAGCACTTTTTATTGGCCAGGGCTGAGGGGCGATGTGTGCGACTACGTTGGGCGATGTGATGGGTGCCAACGCACTAAGGCGGACGCGCGTCGACCGGGCGGGCTGCTCCAACCTTTGCCGGTTCCCGCGCGTATTTGGGAGGACATCACCATGGATTTTATCGAGGGGTTGCCACTCTCGAATGGGTTCAATGGAGTCATGGTGGTAGTCGACCGCCTTACCAAGTATGCGCATTTTATTCCACTTACTCATCCATACACGGTTAAGTCTATAGCAAAATTGTTTGTTGAATATGTGATGAAATTGCATGGGGTGCCACGGTCAATTGTGTCCGACCGAGATCAGATATTTATGAGTAGCTTTTGGTCGGAGTTCTATAAATTTCAGGGAACCGAGCTAAGCATGAGCTCGGCATATCATCCACAAACCGACGGACAAACGGAGGTGATGTTGGGTTCTGTTAGGAACGTCAAACAACATGCACGGCATTGAACTTTATCGAAATAAATCCTAACGCAGCGGAATCTATAGTTAGGATATGGACGTTTACCTTTTAAAATTTTTGCCGACTCTGAGACGATGTAGAGTACCGTTGGTGAAGTTCGTCTGAACACCACAACCTAATGGGCGGATAGGTTTGGCCTT